ATTGCCCCAGTTTTTAGAGATTGTCCTATTTTTACAGAGATTCATCACAATATTCATCTAACATTTCTCAGGACAACGTTTTTCCTCCCCTGTTTTCCATGATATGTACAGGAGTACAGTTTGGGATAAGTTGCAGTTTCCAGAGGATTTGCTAAAGAGTTTCCCTGAAAGGAAGCAAGATGGAAGCTCTGCTGGGACAGAAGTTGCATGAAATACACACTTGCCATTTGTGGTTTTGCCCTAACCGGTATTCACCCATAAGACAGCATAGCAATGCCTCCAAAATTTTTAGGGGAAGGGCTTCTGACTGTGCCACTAAGTATGACAATGTGAAGCAAAAAGTTGGGAATTATTTAATATGTTAACAAACTGAGAAAGGAATCCTTGAAGAATCAAGGAAAAATTGTTAACTTCTTTTTTATTTTTTTGCTGAGCATGAATATTTCACCATAATTATCTGGATAACTACCCTTGACTCTTTCAATCCATTCCTGTTTATATTTATTTTGTTTTATTTTTTTAGTACAATTCCAGAGATGAGTATAGCTTTATGACTGGCATTAATGTCAGCATGATTATAATTCAAACCAAACCACAAATAGCTACCATTTATACAATGTTTTCTTTTTTATAAAAGCCACACAATAGAAGCAAACTGACAAGTTTTTTGGGCAAATTCCAGGATAAGTTAGAGGATTATGGCAATGTCTGACCACTCAGCTTTCTGACCCTTCCAGAGCTTCACTACTGTAAGTGGTAATCAGTGTTCACTATGATAAGACAAAGACCATGCAAGGTGGTCAGTGCTTTCTGGACTGCCATCATACTAACAATCATTTTGGTTTTAACTGTGTTTGTGTTTGAATGAGCATTAACTAGACTCCGGATAAATGGTTGCTATACTAAAGTTCAGAGAGTTACTGAGAATTACTGTTTCTAATGACTATTAACCATATTCCAGAGAAATGGTTGTTTGCTGTACTAAAGGATAGCAAACTACATACTTCTAATGAGATCTAGAGAAGTAAAATACGACTTGCAGGTTCACAACTTACAGGTGAACTCTCACACTTCCTATCATCATTATGTTTCAGGTGACAGAATTTCACTCATGAATATTTCCAATAATTATGTGACAGTGGATTTCAGTTTCTTAGATACCTGCTTGCATGCTCTAGGACCTAGAATGCCATGTACTTTCTTTCCAAGCTTCTTTTCCTCAAGGAGTGTTATCTCTGCTAGTTATGGCACATTATCCTCACACTCTGTGGATAAGATCGTGTGGACCATTTGAAGGTATTTGCTGAATCCTAAGCAGCTCACTATCATTTAGGAAGGAAAAGAGCATGCAATGCATGGAGGATGAAGGCCTCCTCGTGATGCTGTGTAACAATGAAATCATTTTTAATTCCATGGCATTTACTTTTGTTGTCAGAAATTATGTAAGGCAATCTAAAAGGAGACAAAATTGTATGAATCTTTTCCAAGGTACAGCTCAATAAATGTACCAGGCCATCTGGGCCTGCCCTATTCTTTTTTGAAAGAACCACAGACCACACTGAAAGTCATTTTGACCTTTGAGTATTTCCATTTGTTTTAGATTTGTTAGAAGGTGGGTACACTATAAATATTATGATTTTACATTAGTCTTTTTAATGATGCCATGTCTCTCAAAAAGGTTTTGGAAATCGTCCAATTCTTTAAAATAACCTAAAAATAACCTGCACTATATTGCAGCAGAAACAGACACTATTTTATTTATAGTCACTGTCTCACAAAATTTTACCGTTTTCAGTGTCCTGTGGCTCACCTACAAATTTGATATAGGAGAAAGCATATATTATTTTTATACAAATGCATAACTCAATTCAACTCAAATATTTATTGAGCATCTATTCTAGTTCAAGTGCTGTAATAAATATAATAACATGACATCGTCTTTTTGTTAGATCAATTCTGTTGGGGGTCTTTACAATTTTTTTCAAAATTCATAAAATCCTGTTTTTCCTTTTGTAGTTGGAAAGTTACAAGAAATCTGTTTTCCAAATAAATGGAGGCATTTTCTTCTACTTCAGGTCTGGATTTTACCTATGTAATCATCTATACTTCTCAAACATTGTTTCTTTAAAACAGGCTACTTTTTTAAGAAAGATGTTGAAAGCCAGGTGATTCACTTAACAACTCAAAGAATATTGTCAGGATTATTTTCAGACATTCAGTCTTCGGGAGAAATCCAGGTAGAACTGGACTGGTGGGATTAGGGCCAGGAAGGTGAGAACATCTGACTCACAGAACAGAGAAGGGATGAAGGACAAGAGGACCTAGAGCATGCCATAACCCCCTAAGTAAGAGAGCAATAATAGTAACGTAACCATCTAGGGAAAGAGGCAGACTTCCGTAGGAGTCAAGGAGCCTTTGGGGTAGAGGAAGGGCATTCAGGTTGAGAAGAGTTGGTTACATCCTGGCATTAACAGAAAGGCAGCTGTGCTTTCAGAGCAGGAGCCAAAGAAGTTTTTATGCACATGCTCCAGTGATAAAGGTTTATCGAAGGTGCCCAGAGGACAGATCTGTTTGTCACTAATCCCTGTCATTAGTTTATGTATATTTGGAATAAAGGGGAGGTGGGGAAAAAGAGAGAATTTTTTTTAAAATATACTTAACTGAAATTTCATCTAAGCTCTAAATCATTTGTATACCTTTTTGCCTTGTTGTGCTATAACTTCTTGATTATACCTGTTTATTTCCAACCATAGAAATAGAATTCATAAGTCTAGACATCTTGACAGGATATTTCTACAGAACACAGCTTCTTATTTTGTTCTAATATACAACATTCTAGTATTTAAGATTATGTGTAAGTTTAATAAAATGTAATTCTACATACCAATAATTAACTCCCTTTCCATTGTAGATTTCCAGAGGAAGAGGATTTGATTACTAGTTACCTGCCCTGTATATGGAAGCATGAGACAGACAACTTTAAAACAGTGTCTTTAAAAAATTCAGAATTATTACCTTCTCACTATAAGTGACTTCATCTTAATTAGGTTTACAAATTATTATGAATATTAGTGCATTTATAGAAATAAATGAAAATAGGTCTGATGTATATGTATGCCTCTCTGAATGCAATCTGCCTCCATAGTGATATCTCTAACAGACTTCAAGATTTATTTAAATATAAAATTTCCATAGTTTCCATTTCACTATAGCTCAATTAACAAGGTTCCAATCTGACATATGGAATATTAGTTTTTTCCTTGAGTAAAATTTTTCAGTTTTGTTATTCACAGTCATTGATTTGCATGACCCTACAATTTACTTTTATGATTAAAAAAACATTTTTTATTGCATTTTAGGTTTTGGGGTACATGTGAAGAACATGCAAGATTGTTGCATAGGTACACACATGGCAGTGTGGTTTGCTGCCTTCCTTCCCCTCACCTGTATCTGTCATTTCTCCCCATGCTATCTCTTCCCACCTCCCCACCCCCCATCCCTCCCCCATTTCCTCCCAACGGACCCCAGTGTGTAGTGCTCCCCTCCCTGTGTCCATGTGTACATTTTTAAACAAAAATTCTGGTCAATGAATAAAATGTCATAATTCATTAGAATTGTAAGCTACCTGATAAAAAGTAGAGTAAGATCTCTATTAACTGACCAAAGTAAGTAACAAAACTCCATTCTCTTTCAATAGCTAACTGTATGAGTTTCTTAGCTTTATGAATCTTCAGGTAATAGTCTGTCTTTCTATTTACCTAAAAAAAAAAAATCAGAGTGTTTCTCAACCTAGAATTACAGGGAAAAATAAAACACAATAAAATGAGAGAAAAAAATTAAAAATATTAATTTGCATTCCAAGATACCAAGACTCAGAAACGTATCTGGAAATCTCTAAGACCTACAAGACGTCTCAGTAACTGTAAACGTCTGCACAATGGCTCCAGAGATTATTTAAACTAACTAGATGCATCGAAAGTCACCATTCACAGAACTAAAAATACACCAATGTTTTAACAAGAAGCTTCTTATGATTCATAGCTCTGGTAGCATTTTTAAGTTCCATGAAATATATTTAACTTTGAACTTAACTGAAACTACCTTACACAAGAGCCTTTTATAATTTCTCACATCTTTCAGTCTGAAAAATCAGTTCCGATTGAGGATAGAGAAGTGTTATTGTCAACATTTTTCTATAATAATGTAGATAAAAAGAATATTATGTCTCCTCTATTGAATAGCATATGAGCTCAAAAAGTCCATCAACTGACACATCTGAACATTTTCCACTTCCTTCCAAAAGATGAAAAATCACATCCGACAGGAAACAGATTCTTTAGATTAGTGGCAGGTGTAGAACACACACACCAGTCAGTGTACATTTTCAGTGTCGACAGGCATGCTCAGTGACAGAGAGTGCAACTCTCCCTTTCATTGAGGGGACGCACATCATATTATTCCTTCTTCCACACATCACCAAGCAGAGAAGTTCCCAAGCAACAAAACTACCTGCTTTTGGTCGAACACCAGGCTACTCTTAAAAGATAAAAACGTCAGTACCAAAGAGAGGATGATTATGATGATGATGGCCATGATGATGGGTCTAGTTTAAGAAATTTTTTAGGAAGAAGGAGGAAAAGTTGTCCCCATTTTCATGCTAGTTTATCTAGCCCAATATAGTTATTTAGAAAGAGAAACATTTAGAAGCTTTATTTACAAGTTAAATAATTTAGATATCGCTGCAATAATATGGTTAAGGTAGAACCTTAAAGCTGCTGTAAGTAGTAACTGGGTGTTAGTGAGGTAAGTTTTAAAAGTAAAAATACAAGCCCTCCTCTTTTCCCAGAGTGCCCACCAAAAGCTCATCTCCTAGTTTGTGTCTCTTTTCTCCAAGCCAAATAAACAAAAATATCAAATCTACAAAATCGTGACACTACTCGAGGTAAATTCTGGAAAATGGTAGAGTTAAAGGAGAACACAAGTTTGGATTTCAGATTTACCTGCTCTGATCCCAATTGGCAGCAAAAAGGACTAGAATCTTCCTGCCATAGTGGTCCAGATTGGCCAGGCCCCCCGGGAAGCCATCCTTCAGTGCCTGCTTGATCCCGGGATCGGTGGCCTTGAAGCTTTTGAACATGTCCAGGTTCTGCTGCCGGTACTCAAAGTACTGCGCCAGGAGGCGGAAGGCCTCAAAGTGATGAAACTTCCTAGCCCGCAAGAAGCGTAAGATGAAAGCATCATCCGTGCGCAGAAAGCCAATGTCCGGCCTGGTGATGACCATATCCCTCACCTCCTGGATGTCCTGGTGCAGCGTGTCTGGGTTTTCATTGAGCTCCAGGCGAGCTTTCTCCAGGGTCTCAGGGGAGAGTCCAGCTTGCAAATGAGTCATTGTTCTGCCTGTTCCAGAGCCTTCACTCAGAAGCCCTAGCTGACTGTCCCAAAGCAAATTTGGCCTTTACCACCACACACTCCAGCCCCCAGACCTCCTGCTGTCTGCTTCCTCTCCCCTACAGGAAATTAATAGTCTTGGTGTCCAATCAAGTGCCCTGTTGCTCCTGCTTTCCCCCAGCTTTACCGGGAGGGGGGATGTAAACTTCTCCCGCCCCCTAAAATACAACAGCCACTTTGGCTTCCTCCTCCCTTTCCTTTAAAGAGATGGGAACCCCTGAAGGGATCCGCACTCCTTGTCCTTTCTCCCTCCTAACAAATCACCCCTAATCCCACCTGGCACGGGTGGTTCCGATCTTGGTACTTTCCTCTTCTCTTCTCTTCCAAGATGTAACAAAAACAACCCCCACGCACATATCAGCCCTTCACTGTGAATGTTCCTGCGGTCCCTACTGAAGGATACGCCTGCCAGGAGTGGCGATGGAAATTGTGATTAATAATAAGGTAGCTCTTCAGCGCTGAGCTCCAGGGCGGAGAGAGATCATCTTTGCCAGAAAGAAAAAGAGAGAGAGAGAAAGACGGGGGAAGAAAGGTTATTTCTCCCTCTACTTATTCAAATAAGCTATTCTTAAGAGACATATTTGTGGGATTTATTTAAGATTATTGTGATCCAGTTAGGTGGAGACTCTGCAGATAACGCACTTTACCACGTCCCCTCTGAGATACATCGTGATCTCATAAGGCACCAGTAGGGGTTCTGGTGGCGTTGGTACCAGCGTGGGCTCCCCCAACCCCACCCCCAACTTCTGCCTTCCTCTAGCCCTGCATTTCCACGGACTTCCCGCGGGGTGGGGGAATGGGGGGGGAGGGGGAAGTAGAGGATCGGGGATCTCTCTAGGAACGCACATTTCAAAAACGAGAAGGGGAGGGCGTTGTGAATAAAATAAAAATGTCCTTATCTTTTCTATAAAACCCCAAAGCAAGAAAAGAAAGAGCAGCCGCTCCTACCAGCAAACCCGGAGGCGGGGTCGCTAAGCAATGCGACACTCCCAGGCATCCATCAGCCGCGGCTTCAGCAGCGGCGGCGGCGGCGACAGCGGCATCAACTCCTCTGGGCGGGATGGAAGGAGCAGAGAAGAGGGGCAGGGGCGGGGGCCCGGGCAGAAGATGCGCTCGGGAGCAGCCGCGGCCACATCCTCCGCGGGCAGCCAGCCGCCTCTCCCAGCAGGAGGGGTGGGGATCGCAGGGCTAGAGCCGCCGCTGTCCCAGGTCCTCGCCTGGCCCTGCCATTTCTGCCTTCGGGAGAGAAGGTGGGGAGCGGGACCCGAACGCCTGGATGGAGAAGGCCACTCGGGCGGCCACCGCCTTTGTGCGCCCTCCGAGCAGCCGGGGTGGTGGGCGCAGCGGGGCGGCTGCTGCGCGGCGCGGGGCTCTCCTGGGGGCTCTCCCGAGCGGTCCGAGTCCGGCGCGCCCCTCTGGGCTGCTGCGGCGGCTCCGGCTGCTGCTGCTAAAAGAGGACTCGCTCAGCCCAACTCCTCTCTAATTATCCCAGCACAGATCTCGCTGCGACGTAAGCACTCACTCAGCTCGCGCGCGCACGCCGCTCCTCTCTCTGCCTCGCTGGAGTAGGACGGCAATTTGGGTGGCCTGGAAATATCCCGAGCTCCAAGTTTAGCGTGCTCCTAGATCCCACTGTCCAGCAGGCTGCGGAGCGGGCATCGCCGGGCCAGGTGGGGCAGCGATGCTCTCCAGCCTCCCCACGCCCCTCTCTCACCCTTTGTGTGCAAGACCCCAGAGCGGCCAGGAGAGTGGCTGTTGCAGACGGTAATTCACATTGACATGCATCTTCTAGTTCCTGTAGGAGGCAATTTTGATGTAGAAGGAGTACGGAAACATTTTGTACTTTTTGCATTTGTTGTAGACACAGATATTTAATTTAGAAAAGACCAGACTGGTTCCAAGGCAATGTGTCGATGATTAAGCCTCCGGAGGAACTTACATGAATAACAATTTTTCAACCATACACTCTTCCTGTTGAAGAGGATGAAAATGAGCACTGGGACAAATTAAAAAAAAACATAATTCTCAAAAGGAAAAAAAGGGCACCTCACTCATACCTCATAATAAAGCAAATATTTCTAGAAACACATACCATCCTTCCTTCAGTTGTATGCATCTGTGTATCATTATAAATGAACAAGAGTCCTTGCGCTCAAGATGACTATCTATGGATTTGAGGGAAAGGGATATTTTCTATTTCCAAAGCACAGCACGTACTGCTGAGCATGTTACTAAGAGCAACTTTTGATTTACAAACTGTAGAATGGGGTCTTGAATTGAAGTTAACGTTAACTCAATGCAACTAATATTTACTGAGTTCCACTAGGTGTGGGGCATTTTTCTGGATTCTGTGAATAGGAGGTGGTCTTGAAGATAAGCACGTTTTGTCATGTTCTTAACTTGACATTTCTTATCTGCTCATTTTCAGTTTTGAAGACTATAAGAACCCTCAAAATACAGGCACACTTTTTGTTGTTATTCTAACAGCGATGGTGTTAACAAGAAGAAAGAAGGAAACAGGTTGTATGGCGGAACAAGAGGAGTTATTAATTAAATTAATGCAAATTAATATGGGAACCAGAATAAGACAATAAATTACACACACACAGAGTCATTATTCTCAAGTCTAATATTTTATAGTTTGAAGAAAATTTATGGTTCATATCAACTGTATGAGGAGATTTTAGTCATCACCACCATGGAGAGACAATTCTCCCTGGATCTGTTCTGTTACTGCATGTCTTATGAGCAAGGGACTATAACTGCCCTTTGTTCTAGACTATCTTTTCAAGGGTATTTGCACAGTAAATAATCTTGGGAGATATTGGAAGATAGAGATAGTACCTCCATCTGAAACAAAGCCTTGAAAGCTGTGATATCTCTCTCCTGACCAAAGGATAGGCAGACTTATTTGAATTCACTAAACTAGGAGCTACTCTATTGTAATGACACCCACTGTTTATGCCAGTATCACTTCTTTGCTCTGTAGAAATTAGAGCTCAGGTGGCCAGTGCAAGTTATGCAGATGCTCATACTGCCCGCTAAGTGCCTGAGTGACAAAACCCTTTATTTCTAAGCCAGGAGTTTTCCATGAAACTATTTCTAAGCCAGGAGTTTGCCATGGAACTATAGCCAGCTAACTTGTTAGCCTGTAAATAGAGTTAAAACTCAGATATTTCACCTTGATGAAAAACCCGTTGCTTGTTCCTTAGATAGACATAGTAGACTATTTTTAAGGGAATTTATAAAATAAAATTTATTTTTCTGGCCCAGGGTATGATACAACCAATATTGAAGGATGGCATTTTTATTATTTATTATTTACCAATAATAGAATCGCTTCAAATAGATGTATTTTAACACATAAACGTAAGATAGAAATAGTCTCTATCCTATGCAACAATCTTGCATGTTCATCACATGTACCCCAAAACCTAAAATGCAATTAAAAAAAAAAAGAAAGAAAAAAAAGAAATAGTCTCTATCACCCAGTAGGATTGTTGGAGTACATCGGTTAGGTATATATAAGATTTTTAAATCATATTTACAAACTATTAGTGATTATACTATTATTCTTTCTCTATTTGTACATTTGAACACAGTTCTGAAAACAAAATAAATATATAAAGCCATCTAAAATTAAACAAGGTGTTTATTCAAATGACGTCAGAGCATTTGATTTTCATTCAATATTAATTTACCTTGCCAAATTAATGCAAAGTAATGTAGGAACTGGAATATGAGAGTAAATTAACTAAACAAAGGATTAATTAAAGCATCATTGGAAAAATAATTAAATCAAGAGCTTCAGGTGTTTTCAAGCAACTAGAAAGGAAAGCTTGGTTTACTGCTAAATTTAAAATGAATAGAGTAAGTAGTTTACATTTTAAAACATTTTATTGCATTTATTGTTAAATAAAATATATGCACAAAAAGAGGCACAATATAAAGATGTATAGCTCACTCCTATATTACAAGCCAAACACAAATATAAGTGTCCAACCAGGTTAAGAAACTGAAAATTGTCAGCAGCCAGAAAGCCCCCTCCCAGCCCCTCCTAACTCCTGGCCTCTTTACAACAAAGGAAACCACGCTGTCTTTATTTTTAAAATAATCCTTGTTTGTTTTCTTTAATTTTACCAGCTAAACAACTACAATTTAGTTTTTATGTTTCTGAACTTAAATGTAATCATTCACATATAATGGTATCATTGACCTCTTCTATTCAATATCATCTTTTATGATTCATCCATATTGTTGTATGTAGTTCTCTTATATTCAGTAATGATGCATAGAATTGCGTTTTTATACACATGCTACAATATGTGTATCCATTCGACTGTGGAGGGAAATTTGGGTTGTTTTCAGTTTGGAACTCTTATGAATCATGATGTATGAACATTCTGGTACACATCTTTTGGTGCACATGGAGAGACCTAGGATTGAAAATTTCTGGGTCATGTGTGATGTGCACCTCCAAATTTAGTAAATAATCCCAAACTGTTTCCCAAATGGTTGTTTCACCATCCCCCCAGCAATAGATGAGTGTTCTTACTGTGCCATGTTCTCAGAAATCTTATTATTGTCTATCATTTTAACTTCATCCATTCTGATTTTGAACCAGGGTATTATTGCATTATGGTTTTGGTATGCTTTCCCATCATTACTAATGAGGTTAACTTTTCACATTGTTTTGGGCCATTGGTACATCCTTTGTTTGAAGCATCATTTCAGAGATGTTGCTGATGTTTACAGTGGGGTATTGATTGCTTTAATATTGAAATGTAGAGCTTCTTTATAGATTCTGAATATGAACCTTTGTCAGTTGCACATGTTGTGAATATCTTCTCCCAGTCCATGGCTTTTTTTCTCACTCTCTTAGCCTTGTCTATTAATCAACATAATTTTAAATATTTAAGTAATTCAGGTTTTCTCCTATGAACAGTACTTTTTGGGTCCTGCTTAGAATACCCATAATTACTCAGATATTTATTCTCCAGTATACTTTCTAGAAGTTTTGTTGTTACTGCCTTTCACATTTAGACATGCAATTCACCCAGACTGTGTTTTGTGCATAACACGAGAAAGAGATCAAGTAATTTTTTTCTCTATATGAATAACCTGTTTACTCAGTACCATTTATGGAGACTATTGAAAAGATCATCTTTTTTCCCTACAGGACAGGGCAACCGTTATCACAAAAAATAATTTTTCACATGTGAGTAGATTGTGATTCAATATAAATTTTAAACTCCACCTTTTTTTATACAACCAATATTCCTCAGTGGTTCCCAAAGTGTAGGTCCCAGACCAGCAGGATTAGTATTACCTAAGAACTTGTTAAAAGTGTAAATTCCCATGCCTGATATACTGAATCAGAAACCCTCCCTAAGATACAGGGACTCACAAAGTCTCTGCGCAGCCCTTTGAGTGATTCTAATTTACACTGAAATTTGAGAATCAATGCTTTAGATTTAACCCCACACGTATCCTTTTTACTCTTTATTCTTTCCTGTATCTCTGAGTTTCCATATGGTATTGATCTGTTTGTTTCTTCACTAGAACACATTGTAATGTGTCTTTTAGTACAGATCTGAGGGTTATAAATTATTTATTGGTCTGAAAGTCACTTTATTTTACTTTTACTCTAAAAAATATTTGTTAGATATAGAATTCTAAATTAGCAGCTATTTCTTTTTAATTCTTTACATATTTTATTTCTATTTTTCTGGCTTCTCTTATTTCTGTAGTAAACTTAACTGTTAATTATTTCATTGTTCCTTTCAAAATCATAGCCATTTGTCTCTATCTGATTTATTTTCTCTACTTATCTTTAATTTTTAGCAGTTTTACTCTATGTTTTTTATTACTTTATTCTTTTTTATTATTATACTTTAAGTTCTGGAATACATATGCAGAACGTGCAGGTTTGGTTACATAGGTGTACACATTCCGTGGTGGTTTGCTTCATCCATCAACCCATCATCTACATTAGGTACTTTTCCTAATGCTATCTCTCCCTTTGCCCACCACCCACTAACAAACCCCAGTGTGTGGTATTCCACTGCCTGTGACCATGTGTTCTCATTGTTCAGCTCCCACTTATGAGTGAGAACATGCTATGCTTGGTTTTCTGTTCCTGTGTTAGTTTGCTGAGAATAATAGTTTCCAGCTTCATCCATGTCCCTGCAAAGGATGTAAACTCATTCTTTTTTATGGCTGCATAGTACTCCACAGTGTATATGTGCCACATTTTCTTTATCCAGTCTATCATTGATGGGCATTTAGGTTGGTTCCAAGTCTTTGCTATTGTGAATAGTGCTGCAATAAACATACATGTGCATGTGTCTTTATGGCAGAATAAGTTATAATCCTTTGGGTATATACCCAGTAATGGGATTGCTGGGTCAAATTGAATTTCTATTTCTAGATCCTTGAGGAATCACCACAGTCTTCCATGATGATTGAATTAATTTACACTCCCACCAACAGTGTAAAAGTATTTCTATTTCTCCATACCCTCTCCAGCATCTGCTGTTTCCTGACTTTTTAATGATTGCCATTCTAACTGGTGTGAGATGGTATCTCATTGTGGTTTTGATTTCCATTTCTCTAATGATCAGTGATGATGAGCTTTTTTTCTTATGTCTGTGGGTAGCATAAATGTCTTCTTTCAGAAGTGTCTGTTCATATCCTTCACCAGCTTTTTGATGGGGTTGTT